CATACTTAGTTAGATCTTCCGTGCTTCCATGAACCTATGAAAGTAGGGTAGTCGGATTTTCAAATAATGTCCCAGAGTCCAAGCTACCCACCACAAGGTTTTGAGTGGTCCCAGAGATGCTCATAAGCTTCCAACATAATGCAATTGCATGGGGGTAGCAACATTTATTTTAATGAAATCTGTTGTGCCCAAGTGAATACCGGCCTTACAGATACGGCACTTTTGACAACACAGATTCATACAGACAAAACTGTGGTTCAGTTTGGTGTGCCCCTAGCATTGTTCTCAAAAGACCGCATAATATGTGCGGGGTGGGTAGAATGCATATCTGTCCACCTCACTACATGCAACATCTTATAATTGAGCGGTTCACTCAACTGTTCACCTTGTAATCCGCGGACCCTCTAGTGAGGTGAAGGGAGTGCCTCCGGTCTCATATTTCTGAGTAATAGATGTTGATTGTTTTCAAATATCAACAGAATGTACGAAATGCGTTTCACTGCAGATAGGACATTAGTATTATTCGTAGCTATAATCTGCTAACGGGACGGGAAAGGGATTTTAAACTGTCACTATCGACTCATTCAGGTGCTTCTCTTCTAGTTGCCAACTAAAGTGCCACGGTATATTCTCATTCCAAGACTTACTGAGGGCTGTTTCACTGAGGACTGGCCTGGATGGGTTTCGAGGCGTACTCAGGATTGATGAATTCTGACACGCGTTTGGAGTTACACGCTTGTGTTCATTCATCTCGAAATCACCAAGACCAATGGTTTGGCTGTAAAAGTTTTCCTTCGTTATAATTATACATAGATTTCCCGATTCACCTAGGTAGAAAGTCGCTTTCGGCCAATTTGAAACGGTCCACCCAACGAAAGGTTGAGCTACTTGGACATACAGCTGTTTATAGGTTCGTTATGCCACCTCACATGTGGCTTCCTCACTCAGTGTTCGGTTGAACAGGATTTCCGAATTGGTTTCTTCTTTTCTAAGCCCCCACAGTCTAGTTGAAGTTGACACGACACATCGGTATTAAACCAGATAATGGTCACTTTAACCAATGATTAAAAGGTGTGTAACGAGACCCATACGAGATCCATGGAAGAATAAGTTCAAAAGTGAATGGGTGGATTTATTGTGACGTTAAGTGGTTGCTGCAATAGGCTTCATAACCGCATACATAGGCGGGTACATACTTATTTTATCAGGCTATCCCAGTGAGCCGAAATTTCACAAAAGCCTGCTAGAACCAAGCACCTGAATCGAGGAGGAGGTCTGTGTTCTACGAATTTATTACTGTCGTATTCCTTTCATTCTAACGCAGAACATGCAGTTCGCAGGTTTCATTCAAGTAAACTGCCCCTACAACTTCTGAACATGGGGTGCTCCCCACATAATCACCGTTACCAGTTTCTGCTGGCCGGTCCGCCACTCCTGAAAAATCCCAATCGAGGGACCGATCCGACATTTTGACCACCATTTTCCAGACTTGAAGTCTTTATTGTGCAGAAGCCTGAATAGTTTCAACTAGCTGCATTTCCACAATTATTTGTATCCCACCATGTCAGTGACCCCGGAATTGTTTTTCCAGAGAAACTACGTCTGGTGCAGTACAGTCACCTTTGTATAGACATATTTTGTATTACCACTAGTTAGGGGTCACAGAACTTGCTTTTTTCACTATCTTCTTCGCAGTCTTACTCAGCAAACAACAACCGACTCTTTTGAGCTATCCCCCAATTCAGTGATCGGTTCCCTCAAGCTTTTATGATGCAGTGAGCTTCTGATGATATGCCCTCGGGCGCAGCCTAGGACTCTTCACCGCTAAGCTTGATACCAACTCCTGAACGCGATAGCACACACGCTGATATTTTACTCCCCCCGTCAGCAAGTGGTTCCCACAAGTTGATACGGTTTGTGAGGAAGTTCTTATAAAGTTCAGCCTTGACGAAAGCACAACGCGGGAAATCTTCAATAAGTTGTGACTTGCTCTGTTGCACGACTCCACCTAGACAAAATAACTGTTCTTGATTGACGGGTGAAGGGTTAGGAAACTTCTCCAGCTTAGATAAGTTTGTCAAATAGTAGCCACCAATTGACCCTGTCCGACCTGACCTTAACCCATCGAAAATGTTGACCCGATAATTACATTTTTATCTCAGGACACAGGCTTACGTGATACTTCCCATTCCATTTTGAAAGGCCAGGTGTAGTAGAATGAAAAACTGACCACACAAGCGCGCGATAATTCCAGTTTTGGTCGTCACGGACTGTTTCTTTTAGACTTTCCTGATCCATGTCAATTCTTGCGCTGCGTCGTAGATGGACTAGCACCTTCCTGACGGTTGAATTACATAGATTCATCTTTCTTTAGTATGGCTTTTGAATTCATAGTCTGTATGTAGTTGCGCAGAAGTCGACGAAATACAACGAATCTATTGCATTCGGCTAGGCTTGTTCTAGGTCTGCTAAGATTCTTTTTATGCAGAACAAATCAGATTTACACATGCAACACTCGAAAACAGTATAAACCACTGGCAACACGGTTCCAAAATGTGTGTGAAACATAGCTAGTCAAGGGTTCCTGGGACGCTTCGGAGAATATTTCCTCTCTATTTGGAGAAGTGCTGGAACGAGTAGTACTGCTTCTTACAGAAAGTTCAACGGGGATGCCTGGAGATGATTTGGCCATCATATGTATGTCAACAAAAAAACATACGTCAACTAATCTCTTATAATATCTGAAGATGACCTGTGACTCTAAGAAGTGTCAGGTAATGGTAGGGAGCTAGCTTTACAACAGGGGCCAAACAACTTGCTAAATTAATATGGAAAATGTTTATCGAAAATAATGGCAAAAACGAGCGCATTGATGCACACTGGCTGTAGTAACCTGCTTGGTAACTTCGATAGTATCTATTCACTTCCTAGAGTCTACGCAAAAGGTTTTGCGTCATCCAGCCATCCACCGCAGTAAAGAAATGAACTGTGCAGTGGTGACTATCTAGAGGGCCTGGTGCTGTACTTTTCTTTCAAGGACTATGGAAGCTTCAATAAAGGTGTGTGCTTCAGTGGTCAAACCTGTAAACTGGTTTGTATTCATGTAACTTATGTCTACCTTGTGTCTCCAACCACACTTCAGAGAATTAAAGCGGAAATAATCAGTTTTAATCATCTGAAACCTTTTCAATTTGGGTACAGAAAGTGTTGGAAAGCCTGGTAGCTGACACCATATGGGAATTCCTCAATAGAGAAAACACTGTCCTTACTGCTCAGCACGGCTTTCGGAGTGGTCGCTCATGTGCCACCAACTTACTAACCGCCTGGGACGACTGGACACAAAGCTGGGACAACATGTTGTATTTCTCGACCTAGCCAAAGCATTTGACAGTGTCCCACCCACAGTACTGCTTCACAAGATCATGTCAGCTGGTATAAGTGAACCCCTACTCTCTTGGTTCAAGGAGTACCTGGAAGGAAGGCAGTTCTGCACTAAAGTAAACAGAATAAGGTCGGAGTGGAGACCCTCGACGTCAGGAGTATCCCAAGGAGCAATCCTAGGACCGCTTCTGTTCCTCTTGTTTGTCAACGATCTGCCAGATAAAATATCCTCACCCATCCTCCTCTTCGCTGACGACATAGAAATTTGGAGGGTGGTAAAAGAAGAAGCTGATTGTACGGCGCTACAAAAGGACTTGCAGCAACTCGAGCTCTGGTCGTCGGAAAATGGCTTGAGCTTCAACCTGGAAAAGTGCAAAGCAATGCACATCGGTAAAAATGAAGCAAGTACGACCGGCTTCCAGTACATGTTGAGCAACCGTGCTATCACCAGAGTGTCCATGAAGAAAGATTTTGGGCTCAACTTCTCCGACACCTTGGACACCAGCTCCAACTACAAAGGTATGACAACCAGAGCGAACGCCATTCTACACTTTCTGCGTAGACAGCTTGGCGCCCTCACTCCCGAACTCTTCCTCACCATTTTCAAATTCTACGTGCGGCCGCATCTAGAGTTCTTCAATACGGTGACTCCTCCAACACTCAAGAGAGACTCCAATCTCCTTGAAAGAATACAAAGAACTGCAACAAAATCAGTTGTGGGGCTAGGGGGAAAGATGTATCCTGAAAGACTTAAACACCTAAACCTATTTACCTTGGGTTATCACAGGAAAAGAGGCAACCTTATTATGGCATGCAAAGTCGCCCATCAGGCAGACCATGCAAACAAATCCATTTTGCCTGCAACTCAACGATCTTCACGAGGAAACCCCATGAAGATAGCACACCAGAGAGCCAACACCAAACTCAGGTCCAAACTTTTCTCCCTAAGAGTATGTGCTTTGTGGAATGCCTTACCGCGACATATCGTTATAGCTCCCTCAGCCGACTCATTCAAGAGGCGATTAGACAGTTATGTCACCTCGCATGGACTACCACGGACGTACTCAGGTAGTCACCAAGCTCACTGGCCCCAACTCCCTCCTAACTACCACTCACTATCTCTCTCCTTAATACACCCACATTACCTACTAATTCTTCTGTAGGAACCAAACCCATGCGACCATTCGCGCAATTCCCAAATACTTTTCTTTCTTTCTCATTTCTCTTTTCACCCCTCATTTTCTCCTTCCTTTTCTCTTCCCTATATTATTATTTTTCTTCTTTCTTCTCTTTTTTTTATTCTCCCTCAATTCTTTTACCACTGCCCCACTATTCTCTTTCAGGTACCTACACAGACAGGAGTCACGGCAGTTCCGTAAACTTCCCAGCAACCCGTAGCTCCGCAGTCACTCTACAAATTACAACTTACTAACCCACAAAACATCCACCTCACCGAAGCTAAAAGCAAGAAAGCAGAGGGATTTCCTCGTCCACTGCAGGAGTGAACCGGACAACGCGAACCAAGCCCTAAGAACTAGACGCGAGAGATCAAAAACTACCAGTTTTCTACGCTCGCACCATCAATATTGGATATATTGGATACTTCATGTGTGCTGTATTGAAAATAACCTTGCCGGGTAATATGAGCGAGTCGAAACCCAAACTTTCTTTTTCATTCAGTCAACGTAAAAAGCAGCTGGTCTTAAGCCACACGCTTAAAAGTTCAGACACAATTAATAGTTTGAGGCTAATGAGAGTAAAAAAGAGTTCATCACTTCTATTGAAGACAACATAATGCATGTACATATCTGTCCTTAATCTATCATTTTAGATGTTCAACTACTCCAAAAGAAGAGAATATCATTATACCTTTGAAGCGTAGCAAAAACAATTTCAGACAACGGATGCAAAAAAGGTTCCTCGCAGCTGACCCTTTAGATGCCCTTACTTTGGAAGCACTAAAAGAAATTAAAGAGGGTAAATATTCGTTTTTTAACCTTGTGTGTCTAGAAAGTCAAAAATTTACAAGTGGTAATCGTAATGATCATATCAACTATGATATTAAAATACCTATGGGAGCACTAGACAATCTTGAAGAGGTATGTGTCCAACAAGTATATTTATCATCTATTTGCTCCAATAGACGGACGATGCGGATTATGATTCTGTCCCTATAGAAAAGTTTGGCGTAGCGCTACTTGCTGGTATGGGTTTTGATCCGAAATCTGTTGATAGTTCTAAAAAGTACCACATGTATTCTGCCATATTTATCTTCAGAGATATCCTATTACCTCAGCGACCAAAGGGCCTTGGACTCGGTGCAGATCCGATGGCACTTCAAAATGCCAAACACGATTCACTGAAGGCAAAGACAGAGCAGTTGTCATGGGTGACAGGTGCACGCTGTCAAGTTATATTTGGGAAGAACAAAGGTCTTTACGGAACGGTTAGTTGGATTATTGTTCTGCTGATTTTGAGGTTCACTGGTCCGCTCGTCAAGCTTATGTTCTGTAAACATTTTACACTTTTTTTTTACTTTGAACACTTTATTAGCGTTCAACCCCCGGTATTGTATCGTGGTAAACAATGTTGTGGTTCATTTATTCAAAATGCTTTATTACGTAAATTGAAAAATCCCATTCCACACACTTCAACCTAATAAGTGGGTGGTAGCAGGCCGTCAGTGTAACTCATCTCAGTACCCGTGTTTGTAAAAGGATACTGAGTTGTGTTAAGGGGATTACAGGTTTTTCACTATATGTTTTCGAAATGGGTGCGAATATGCTGTGAGTGGCTTGGTGAAATGTTTTACGCATGCTGACAACACTAAGTCAGCTACAATAAAGGTGAGTTAGAGTTCCATAGGGTTCCCATACAGTTAGCCTAATCTGTATTGGGAAGTATAGATTGCGTGTTTGAATTCCTGGCAACACTAAGAACTGATTTTTGAAGACCTTAGTCAAAGGCACAAGCCTCTGTTTCTTAGGTAACCATTTCATTTTGTGTGCTTGGCAGTATCTGAACACACAATGTGGTGACATAATACGTCAGTAAAGACTTCAATCGCTTCATTGGTTGACTTTTCGCAAATACCACACTTTCTGATATGAACTGTACACCAACTTGGTTGCTTTCGCCGCCATTGTTATTTTTCTCAATCGCTCACTGTTGCTTAAAATTCTGACCTATCTGTACTATTTCCAGTTGCCGAACAATTGCATCCACAAATATATCCTCTCATCTGATATCTGACAACAATTCTAAAACCGCATGTACCATTCTTGCCGTTAGCGTCCGGACCTTTATGGAGACTGAACAGCGAACAAATTTTGTTAGGGCTCCGAGAAACGTCTCCATATGTGTACGTTGTCATAGACGTCTATACAAGCTCCCAGTGAAATGTTACCAGTAAGATTCATCTATTAGCTCTAAGCGCGTAGTGTGCACTTATCTGGGGATCCTGTGGTATTGGCATATGTGACGTGCTGGTCTCAGTATCTTAACTGTGTTACACTAGATCCTCCTTAACAGATTTCCGTCTGCTGCTACGTTAAAAGGTTTATTTAGAGTACAAAGTAAATTCTGCGATAAGTGATGACAGTTCATCACCTAGGATCCAATGGGTTGCGACCTGGATTCAGCTAAGGACAAGTTCTGTAATCAACTGATTGACTTCAACCAAGTATACTCAACAGCTATCGTAGTGGTAGCTTGGTAGTTTAACATACAGATTTAGTATTTAGGCTCAAGAGAACATTATTTAGGTGACTGGTAGAGATTAGTTAGTCGCAGGTCGTATAATGGGATTCGAAGTAATTTTATACGGATCAAAATCTACTTCTAGCTAGCACCAACTGTTGCTGCCCCCTGTCCCCCTCCTTCTACCACTAAAATTTGAACTCAGATCATGCTGCAGATATTTCCTGATGACGTGGATGTATTCAGGATTGCAACTTTTCAGACTCATCACGCTTTATTGTGTTAATTTTGTCTTGCGTTTTGGTGGTTATTAAAATCGTCGTTCTAAATAGACCTACGTTGTTTGCCCTTCCCCCCCCCCCCCTTAAAATTGCAAATAAGTATCAAACCAGGATAGATAGTGCGGATGAACACTGGCTGTCTCTTCAAGCGTCATGAAGTGTGTATGCTAGTTTGCAGCTTCAAAGAAGTTCCACTTAATAAACATAGGGTTTTTCTGTGCCTCGTATAGCTTTTTGACACATCCATCTATTCCAGCAGACAGTGATTACAACGGTTTGGATCTCCGTAAATCAACAGCTCAAGGAGCAGTTAGGTAAGAATCATTAGGTTTGGTTGTCGGAACAGTCGAGTAAGATGTCCCAGCAATAGGTGCATCTAAGTGATCAAAAAGTGTTCCGGCTCATCCCAGCCACTAACAAGAAAATGCTTGGTGTGAATGGAGTGGCCTGTGATGTAAATGGCATGTCTATCAACAACTTTTGTAGACATCGCGATGGGATGCTTCAGAAAACAATTGATCTGACCTACTGTTTCCAGCAACATCGACTTCAGTGTAATGTGCTACATAGTTAACACGGGTTCACCTTACAAGCGATGGTGCAGGAAGGACTGTGTTGAAAAATCCGTAAGATACTCGGCCAGGACCATTTACCCCTTGTATTTATGGAAGTAGAAATGGGTCCCTAGTCACAAAACTTAATACTTTGAGAATATTTGGCGGACTGAGAATCATATAGATGTGAAACGTCACCATAATTGTGCTAATCTCCTGAAAGAGTCTGTGTAGTTTCGAATTCATTGGAATATCGTTCGTATGCAAAATACTGATTATTATTATTTACAAATGATACGGAAAGCAATTTGTAAGCCGCAAACTGGGTTTGTTTAGATCACGACCCACCTGCCAGATGCTCGAACATCACATGTACTGCATATCAACTATTGCATTTCTTGGTTTTCAGACTGATTGTACTCACCCTTGGTAGTGAATTCCTTTAGGTCCCCGAACAGTTTGTGCACCTGGATTGTTTGAGTGATGGCAGGGATATGACTGATAAGATTTCTAATCCTAAATCAAAAGCCAGGGTGGTGTATGCCAGTCTGGTTTACTTTTGGGGCAGTAGTAATATTAACCTTGCTATGAAAAGTCAGGTTTACAACGTGTCGTCACAGTTAGTTGTGTTCTTCACCCAATAAACCCGGCGTCCGAGCTCAGGATATTCGATAACTCTGCGTCTTCAGTCGCCGTCTTCTCTGCTGGATTACTCGCAACCTGTAGAAAGATCATGCAATTATACTAAGGTGAGGCGTTGTGTGTTTGTGTATGATGGACATCGTCACTCATTCAATGTGGTCATCTTGAACCATGAGCTCTGATGGCTCAGGCATGTTACGCACTTCGCTTCAGCAGCCTCCTCGTCTCTCACCGTTCACCTGTCCTGGGACTTCCCGGAAAAGTAGAGAGGTGGCTAGTTGATGAAGTCCTTATGTGGGATAAAGGATAGTTGTATTGGGTTAGGACTTGTTGGTGCCTCATAACCCCCTGGAGGTCTCTCCTACTACTGAAAAGTAACAGTAAAGTAATGAGTCCTTTAAATTTTGTCTCAGAGACTTCCTCTTTAATAACTCACATCTACTTTTGCTTGCATTCCCTTCCATTTTCCGTATTTTCACGATTTTATTATTTTGTATGGTCCATCTCTTGGTGCCCACGTTGTACCAAATTTGTGTCCTAATAATAATTATTAGCAGCTCTTTAAAGTGTTAGTTCTGAAACTGTATGTTAATATTGACCCTGAGAATCCTGTTACCATCTTGATTGTAGAAATGGCTAATTAGCTTAGACACTCGACTTTTAACCAGTTCTTGGGTTTAGTTCCCATCCTACCTACTTCAACCTGGACAAATGGGTAATATCGTAAACCCCTACATACTCTGTGGCTCTTAGCCTGTTGCATATATTTGTATCAAATCGAGTTTCGAAGCATTCTATAAGAATCCTGTACGAAAACCTTTCAATTTAAAGTCTAGTTTACAAGATTGTGGAGGTGTTCCAAGATTTGTGACCCCGTTACTGTCAGTTACTAAAAGAGATTCATACATAATTCACTCCTTTCCGCACCCTGGGACTGGTGTATCTCACTGGTTTGAAACCAGGATTTTTCATTTCTGGGTGAATGTTCCTTATCCACCAACCAGATTTTAGCAAAGGAAACTTATAGTTGTGTGGAAACTTTGCATTAAAAATTTACCAATAATACATTAATCCATCCCACAATACCCAAACTTTTCTTGGTATATTTAATAAAAACTTCCTTTCACTTTCGCACTATTGTCAGGGTACGTCTGCCATATGGGAGCAGTGAGCATGCTTGACAAGACCAACGAACGTATAGCCGTAAGAGAACATTTCAAAAAGAAGAATAGGCTGAACATGTGACCACCTGACTTACGAGTGTTTAATTAAAGGGAAACCATAGTGTTTTTTCTAAGATGATCTCAAATGCGATCCAGGAACTCAATTCACATGAGTCGTTGTAACAGGATTCGAAGGCGAATTGAATTTGTCACCACTTGTTTGATGTCTGTTATAACTGTATTATTTATTGATATACATCGTTAATGGTGCCGGAAGCTTTTAACGCTTTGTGTGTAGCAATTTTAATCTCATAGATCCTGCTTTCGTTTCTCGAGAAAATGCTTTTATTTCTTTCTGAATATTTAGCTAGAAGGACTGGATGGAGATACTGGTCGAGTAATTGTTAGACTAAAAATCTCAAAGGAAGCGATCACAGTACTTCAACATACTGTTCGTTTGGTATCAAGCAAGGAATACGCCTTATATTCAAACTGTATAAGTGAGTAGACATGTCGTTTTACCTGTCTTTTGCTTCCCTTCACTTTAATTTCTCAATTTATCTTGAATTCTTATTTTCATGTAATCGGTTCATTCCATAGACATTTAATCATACAGTGAGGCTTATTAAAGTTTTTGGAGACGGGTAAAAACTTCCCATTTGATGTAACTATATACTTATTCTCTAACTGTTAATACCATTCTTCATCGCATCAGGTGTAAAACATCATTTTAGAACTTTGGTCCGTTTAAACTACAGTTATCTTCTATGTGCTCCTAAGCTAATTGTTTATCCCTGTACTACAGACTTACTTTTCCGTTAATGAACTTAAGTATACTTATCTTTACTGAATTCGCTTTGTATCAACAATTTAATAGCTGAAATAATTTATCGCCTTGAAAATTTCGATGGCATAGTAAACGCGAAAATTGCCTGGAACATGTGATTAAAGATTTTCTTAATATTAGAGATATGTAGATCAAATAATGCTTATGATAAATGTGATTATGCGATGCGCTTATTAGATCAAGTCAACATTGCTCAAAATCACACAAGTCATAAATCTGTGAAGAAGAGGTAGACAACAAACTGCCACTTCCAAAAACACTAATTGGTGAAACAGTCTGGTTCAATCAGGTCTGTCCATTGAAGAACGAATTATACGACTACCCCAACAACTACTGAAATAGCCAATCAAGTTTCTTCCTTTTATGTTAATGCACTTCTGGCTGAAATAAGAAGTCCAGTTAATTACTTCATTGGTTACTAAAGTGGTCTTCGGATTCATTCTCCACACGGTGGGTTTAGGCATCAATAAATATTGTCTAGTTCAATACAAGCATGGCTTTATTAGGTGTTTATTTTGTCGGATTGACCGCATTTGCACTGAAGATATAAAAGAGAAGGATGCCAAACTGCTGATGGCAAAATTTAGTACAAAATGAATGCACAATAAAATTTATTAACAGGTGGACGGAAGGCACAGCATCGAAACTTATTAATATTCATTTTGGCATTGGAACTTTTTATTTTCTCTTGTTATTTCTTTGGACTGAATTGGTTGGTCTCTATTGCAATATGCGCTCATTTGCCGACACCTCGTTAAAATCATTGGTTTGGTTTCTATTTTAAGGAGAGATAGTGGCTAGCAGTGGAATCCAAGATACGCGTTTCGTCCTCTTTCAAACTCCGTAACCGAGGTGTATTTCCATCCCAGTGAGTGATAATGTTACCGCAGAGGCTGAAACCCCGTAAAAATCGCTTTAAATACTATCCTTAATTAATAGTGCTCAGCCCCTAAAAGCCTCATATCATACCATCATAAAAATTGAATTAAATAATCTTATTTTAAAGAAAAGGCTTTGTTCGGCTGTTCATGACATATATATTCTAACCAAGATCATCTTGATAAATACGGATAAAGCACATACCTTAATTCAAACCCGTCTTTCTGTCTGTTAGTTTGTATGTGTGTGTAAGACATGTGGCTTATTTGGCTTAGATATTTGACTTCTAAGCAATGAGGTACTCATTCGATTCCCTTTCATCTACTTCAATCTGGGTAACTGGGCAGTGTCATAAACCTCCACAAAATAAATGTGGTACATAAACTATTGCATAAACATGTACCGGGTTGATTTGAGTTATATCTAATATCGCACAAACTCCAAGATCTACAGGCGAAAACCAACAAATTGACAGAAGAGGCCAGGCAGCGAACACGGGACTCCAAGTGAACGGAAAGAAGATAGAGGTGATGAAGATGCCCAACCAACAACAAGCATCAACCACTATCAACGGGAGAAACCTAAAGGAATTAGCCTCTTTCACCTACCTAGGCAGCATCATTTCAACTACAGGCGGCATAGGCACAAATGAAGATGTCGAAGCCAGGATCGGAGAAGCAAGACAGGCTTCCATTAATCTGCAACCAGTGTGCAGATCTACTGCACTCAGCATAAAGGATGAACAAGATCTGCATTTTCAACAGCAACGTCAAGTCAGTGCTCCTGTATGGTTCAGAAACTTGGCGTGTCACGAAAAGCATTTCCAACAAACTACAGACATCAACAGCCCCAGCCTACGCTCACTGGATACTGAAGATCAGATTGCCAGAATAATAAGAATAAGCAACAAGGAACTCCGGAAACGAACCAACCAAGAACCTATCACCCAACAGATATTCAGAAAAAGGTGGAGATGGATTGAATTGGACACAGACTCGGAAGACGGTTTGGCGACATCACATTAAGTGGAACCCAAAGGGGAGACGACGAGTTGGGCATCCGAAAGTGACATGGTGGAGATCGTGTGAGGAAGAAATGAAAGCTTCTGGGAAGTCGTGGAGCCAGTTTCAAAGACTGCAGGGGACAGTGGAATGCGACGTGCTTCTGAAACCCTATGTTCCACTAGGAACCCAAGGGACAAATAATAAAAATAACGATAATACTATATATGTGCTTAAACGGAATATACCCTGGTACGATTGATTTTAATTACTGTCCTTCTTTACTGAACCTAACCTTTTACAATTTGCTTACAAATTAATTTGACAAGTTCATGAATGATTAGATTGTTCGAAATGTACAACGTTTATAAATCATATACGTCAGGTCATTGCTTTTCGTTACACTATCAAAATTTCATACTTGATACTTAACTAAACTGCTAGACTACTAGTATTATGGGGGTATAAAAGTGAAGTTTCTTCCCGAATGCTTATCAATCATCAGATTTCGTTATCTAGGTATCAAGTATTTCATCACCGCTAAATTTAATATGTAGCCTTTATGGCCACTGAACAGTCGTATTTTTATTTAAAATTAGTTTTAGATTACAATTTTAAAGTGCTTTGGAAATATCTTGATGATAGTGTTGTCGTATTTGTAAAGAATCATTGCAAATCGTTGTATTTCTTACCCTACTCATGATAACTGATCATAAATTTTCAAAAAAGGCTTTTACTAAAAAATTGTGCTACTCCAGTAAACCTAGATACTTATAACTCAGTCATCATATCTTCATCGACAATTATGTAACAGAAGTTTCACGTAAAGGGAAAATCATATATAGCCTCTGCACAATATGTTGTACATTTTTACTCGATATGTTATCCATAATTTTCTAATATCTGATTTCAGACCAAAATGAAGTCGATGAGTATAAAGCACGTGAAGCGGAACAGTTATCACTTAAATCAGATCGTGATTCAGATCCTCAGTCGTTGAAATTACGATCGAGCGCACTACGACATGCGACGAATCATAATTCTGGTTCTAGGACATTGAAGGCTTCAGCAGAAGATAAACCATTAAAGTATTGTCTCAGTTTTACCCCATGATTTATTTCACTGAATAATATTCTATAAATTTCAGGATTTTCTGAGTGTAATTTGGTAAATTATTAGTGATGTCAAAGTCAGATAAACTTTTGAGCATATAACCCACTTTACCGCGTAACGGTGTAAGCTACCACATCTCATATCAACACGTCACGTAGACTGTAACAAAGCAGCAAACAAGGAAAGAAAAATAGTATCGGAAATTGTGGAGCGTCAAAGGACATGAAGAAAGAGGGGTGAAACAAATCATTGTTTATCACGTTTAAATGCAAATTACGATAAGACATGTGCATCTGTGTCACAACGACCACTTCTGAGCAATACTAACAAAATTCCTCTACAAACTATTTCGGTTGTCTCATGGGCCCTGACCAGAAGGCTTACATTTTCCCACATAGCTCAGACCAGATCAAACTACATGAACTTCGTGTCTACCACCTTCGATGATCGTGTCTTGGTCATATTCTAGGCACCTGACCGATGGCTGCTACCTTAACATAGTGGTTGAGTTTGCATATCCCAATGAGCCAACGAGCAGCATTTATTCTTTGAGAACACATCTTGCTAGAACTGTCTTTTGGGTAGTGGTAAGACAGGAAGCAGTTACTGTTACATTGTGAGTAGCTGTTCCACGCTTATGTTCGAGGGCAAAGTTATACTACTGGTTGGATGGACTGTGACATAAGTAAGGTCTTTCCCTCCAGTAGCCAGCAGCCCATGCTGATGTTACCTTCCCTGCCTGGAACGGGACTAAGAAAGGTTGGGACTAAAAATAACATAGTCTCCCTAACCCTTCGGTTTTCTTGTACTGGCTATTTGGGTTTGTAACTGAATTGAAAACAAAGTAATTGAAACCTCAAACTTCCGAAAAGGCAATGTGTGACCGGCTTTAAGCGATTGTCACGCTGGCTCTATGGCCACCCACCTCTAATACTAACGCAACTTTTCCAGGTAATTTAAGAAGTAACCTTCCATGGTATGGGCAGCCGGGAAATGTCAGCCAACCTCACAATTCTGTCGGGACTGAAATTCGCTCAGATTATCATTTAACGTCTCCATCTCTGCTTTCTAATCTTTCTTCACATCTCTCGGTCAATATTCCTATATCATCTTTGACTTTTTCCAACTCCACAGATCTTGATAATGACTGGAGTTCACGGGACAGCATTCCTGATCTCCTGAAATAATGCTCCAAACTATATATTGGAGCTTTCAATGCCTTACCCTCCGTCAAGTCGACCAATATGCTTCGCTGGCCGAACCTCTTGCATCTCGAGTCATGGATATGTGCTGTGTTCATGCAACATCCATAGAGGACTCAATTATGTTTATTCACTTAACCTCACTCCATCAATATGATGAATCCCCAAAACTCACTCAAATTTCCAGAGATTCTATGGTTGGTCCCCATGTTTTTGCAAGTATAGGAATATCATTAAATGCTAAGGCAGAAAGTATACCTCACGACTGGATCCAAGTTGAAATTTCCGTAGATTATCTGAAACCTGTGATGTATTAGTGCGATACATTTCGAACAATCTGATCACACGTGAACTTGTCGAACTATTTCCATGAAAATTTAGGAAAAGGGTCAATAGAAAACATAGGAATAGTAGGGGCAGAGAAAACAAAATCCTAATCACATTACTCTTGGTATGAAAATTAAAATCAATACTACAAATATAGGTTCAACGTGAGGACAAATTATTTTCGTATACATAAAAAGGGTTTGAATTTACGGATGGCAAGACCTTCAGTAAATTTAAGCGCTCGGCCCTGACCACTTTTAAGTAGTATATTGAAAGCTGTTTTCATGTCTACCCTGTGGTTAGTTTCTCGTATATGTTTGGCGATCGATGAAGATAGACGTTTTTCACCTGCGCTTATCGGATTTGTTGAGGTCATTTGTTTTTGAAGCCACTTAGGTACATGTCCAACCATCATTAACTGAATATTACGATTACTCTTCCCTATGTATGTGACCACAGATACATGCCCTTCCTATTCCTATGCTTTCTACTGATTTCACTCACCCTCTTCCTAAATTCCCACATAACTAGTTCGTCAAATCTATGTATCATCAGACTGCTCGAAATGTATAGCGCTAATACATCAGATGTTTCAGATTATCTTCGTCTTCTCATTACGCTGTTTAAATTTACCAAAGGGATCAGTTACTTTAAATCCCATAGATTAATTAGTGAGTGAGATCTACATTGTGATGATGCCTTACTATTTCGTTTGTTTATTTAGTATCTTTTGGTGCCTCGTAACTACCTAAACGCTAAGATGATTTGTAACGGTTTCAAATAAAAGTGACATTAAATCTCAGCATGGTTATTTTTTATATTCCCTACCAGAATCTATGCCGTCATGTCTGTTTTACTTGACAGTAAGGTTGACTTTAATATTCGAAATAACGCGGAGATGAGCCCTACCTAATATAGTTACGTTCATGGTTTGACAACCCTCTATGATGATTGTCCTATTTCTTTGAGTATGTCTCGATGTTGTGATCCACTAAGGTTTTTGTGTTCTAAACATTTTTTAAAAGCATGGCGTCAATAAATTTGAAATCTGTATGCTTGTTTACTTCCGTAAATTTTCCTGTTACAAGTTTTATATAAAGCATTGTTAAAGTCATATCCATGTGAAATGATTAGTTATTTAGAAGTTTTTCTGTTTCATCATCAATATCAACATAAGACCAGGCATTACTGCGTAACGGTCCGAGTTGCCACAGCTCATATCAGTACATCAAGTAAAATGGCAGTGAAGTGCAAGATGAAGATGAAGAAAATTCAGTCAAAAGAAACATAAAGTACGAAAAGAGACAAAGAAAGAATGAGAAAATGGTGAGATTCGGTATAGCGTCGTTATGATGAGGATAATGTGCGTGGGATATATCTGCACCACTCACATCGGTTCTGAGCCATATCACCTAGAGTCTCTAACCACTGGTTTCTCTTGTCCCGCGGACCCCAACCGACTAGTCTGCATTGTCCCATATGGCTCAAACCAACAGTCAAACACCTCATACATTGATGCCATGTTTTAGTCTGGCCACCTCAGGCCTTTTTCTAGCCTTGACCTACTTCGTCCAATATTGTGTGTCGAGGCGATCGGCGACTAGGCATACGAAACATGTGTCCCAACCATCTCAGTCAATGAAGTTTCATAACCTCGTCAACTGATTTACCTCTTCTCCCTAAAACTCTTTACCCTGACGTCTGCGTTACTCACGTGGTGACATCACGGAATACGGCGACCTATACTACGGAGGCAACGGTGGTCGAACACCTGAAGCCACCTTCTCATGTCTTCTCTCCACCTTCAATGGTCATGTTTCACAGCCATACAGTAGAACAATGCAGACTGGTGTGCTGTACACACGACCCTTAATAGGCAGTCGAATATCATGGCGGCGCCATAGGTGGCGTAAGTTGGTGAAAGCCAGCCGAGCCTTTTGTATTCGTAAAGAGATTTCATAGGCCACTGAGCCAACATGGTAGGGCTGATCCTACTTCCCAGGTAAGTGAAGTGGTCAACACACTCTCTATTGTTAGCTGTGGCACCGTTGGAGACCAATCCTAGAGCAACAATTTGCATTAGTGTGGTGAGAAACGCATCCCAAGCATTCTCAAATTGCCATTCAAAGTGTTCAGAAGACTCTGCATCTTGTCAGCGTCTTCACTTAACAGGACTATGTTATCTGCATATTCTAGGTCTAACGAAAATTCTTTTGCGATTAGATCAACGTCAGGTGACGAGAGGGAGACCTTCATAAGAATATTTATAATAAGAATGAGTAAGAATGGAGAGAGTGGGCATCCTTGACGGACACCACTCGACATCTCACCATAGGCTGTAACACCCACAAGTGTTCGAGTTGAGAGCCTTCAAGAAGGTGATGTACTTAATCGGTACGCTTTTCAGTGACAGACATCACGATAAGACTTCTCGATCAACGGAGTCGAATGTCGTCTTTAGGTTGAGAAATACAGCTGTTGTCGGGCGTCGGTAAGCGTGCCTATGTTCCAGAACCTGGTGAAGTGTGAATATTTGGTCAATACATCCGTAGCCGGGTCTAAAGCCTGCCTGGTCTTCTCGTGCTTGCTGTTCCCTAGCTCCACTCAGGCGTCAAAGAATTGTAGAACCTAGGATCTTGGACACTATGTTCGTCAGGCTGATTCCTCTATGGTTATCACAAGAGGACTTCTCGCCTTTCTTGAAGACTGGAATAATCAGTGATTCACACCAGTCAGAGGGAATCGTATTTGATTCCTATATACTGGTTAACACTTCCGTTAACCTGACTAGGAGCACCTTACCACCATTCTTGTATACCTCCGGAGTTAGTCCGTCTGGTCCTGCTGCCTTTTCTCGTTTCAAGTTACCTACAACTTTCTCGACTTCTCCTAGTGTTAGGGGGCCTATCTCAATGTTGCATTCAGGATCCAACTGGATAGCGGGCAACGCGATGGTGACTGGAGGCCAGTTGAACTGTTCCTCGAAGTGTTCTGCCCATCTTTCCAGTTGTCTCCCCGCGAGTGAATCGCAGATCCGTCCTTCTCCGCTATAGCCTCACCAACTGTTGTTAACCCCTCCCCCCCGGTTTACTTAGTAAGTCTAAATAACTGTCTACTGTTACCAATCGCCGCTGCCTTTTCCATCTCTTTAGCCTTTGTTGCCCACCACTGCTCGCGGTCGTTGCGTAGACTTTTTCTCAATTTACTTTTAAGTTGCGCTCGCTCTTCATTGTGCTGAGAGCCTGCAGGGATACGTTCACGTGCATCCATTAGTTCGGAAGAAGCTCCTGATATCCGCTAGCTCTTGTTAACCACTATTTTGGAATCGGCTACGGTCTTCAGCGCTGCTTTTACAGCAGACTGGAGATGTCACCAAGCTTCTGGATGAGTGATAGTGCTCTGTTCCAATAACTGCCTAACCAACTTCCCACTGAACACGGCATTGGTGTTTTTGTTGTCCAGCAGCACTCGTAGCGGTTTTATTGCCAAATGTTTCTTACATTCATTGAGACGCAGGGATATACACACTTGAACCAACGCGTGATCGTTATCCAAATACATACTCCAGAAGGAGTGGTAGTCTTCCACAGATCCTCTCCAGCGATGACTAATAATAATGTGGTCTATTTGTGTCCGTCGCCGAGTTGAACTCGGTGGATGCCACGTCAGACAGTGTCTTTCTTTATGTCTGAAATTTGTGCTAGCTAAAAATAGGCGATTATCTGAGCATAGTTGTAGTAGGGGGATCACCGTTGTCTGTTCTTTCAGCTGGGACTCCGAAAGTGCCACCTAAGTGCCTTTGTGCCTCACTCAGTCTACCCACCTGTACATTGAAGTCACCTGCAACAACCACCACGTCCGAACGTTTGGCTTTCGAGAGGAGGCTAGACAGTTTACGGTAGAACTCGTCCTTCACTTCATCCGAACTGCAGTCAGTGGGTGGGTAAGCAAAGATTACAAAGGAATAACGGCGAGTTTCACTGTTCCCTTTTGTTCTCACTGTGCCATTCAGTCGGATAGCACAGAGGCGACTATTAACTGGGATCCAGTTTAGTAGTAAGTTTTCTGCCCTAGTGCTTAATGCTATACCTACACCTGCAAGACTGTGAGAGCTAGCTATTGAATCTCCAGAAACTCGAAGGGTGAATTTTGCGGATTCACCAGTTGGTCGAGAGAGGTCAGGTGAGCAACCGTATTTGGGTCCTGTGTGTGTGCCTCACAAACACAGCACACATCCATGGCCCGAGTTGCTAGTCTTTGCCAACGAATCTTGTTGACCAATTTGACGGAGGGTGCGGACATTGTAGACTCCAATATGTAATTTGGAGCGTAGTTTAAGGAGACCTAGGACGCTGTTTCGTGGACTCAGATCGTTATCAAAGACTGCAGAGGTAGGAGAAATTGAAGATGATACAGCATCATTAATTGAGAGACGTGAAGAAAGATTAGAAGGTAATGATGGGGAGGTGGATAGCAGTCTGAGGAAACTTGAGTGCTCATCGAGTTGTAAGGGCGGTTGACACTTCCCGGCTGCCCACACCGTGGAAGGCTATTTCTTCTTAAGGTACCTGAAAGAGATTTGTGTAACCGCAGAGCCCATCGGAATTCTGTTGGAAACCTGTCACACTCACCCTTTTGTGTATGATTATTTTGAACTTTTGTTGTTTTGGGGTCGGATGGCCGAGCGGAAACGACAAAGAAACTAACACCGCCGACCCGGCAGACTGTGGGGTATGGTGGGGTGTTATTTTCGGGGCTAACTCTTCCTACCCCCCCCCTTCCACTGAAAAGTCAGCATCAACATTGCACTGCTGGTCATCCAAGAGAAACACCTTGTTGATGTCACACCCCATCCAGTACGACGTCGCCTCAGACTCCCATCATAGTGTAGTAATTTACATCACAACGGTAACTGCTTTTCGTCTAACCACCACTCAACTGACCTTTCTGGTATGGTAGGACCTCGAGGGGACAAGTGTTCCATCAGCATAGCTCGTTGGGTCATTGTGATATCCAAGCCCGACCACCACGTCAAGGTAGCAGCATTTTAGAAATATTGCTTTGGATTTCATTGATACTATCCTGTAATTCTTACGAAACATTTTCATCCCAGTTTATCCTATTTCGATTTATGATATAAGTTTGTTTTCTCTTATTTTCCGACGAAATCTTGTAGTGTATAATTTTAGCGAAATTCGGGGCTTTATGTCGAATTACTAGCAACATATTTTCACAAAAGTTCATAGTGTTCAGATAGATGGACAATATGTCTTCATCATCAACAAGGTCAACATAGGACCAGGCATTACTGCACAACGGTTCAAATTGCCACACCTCATATAACCCTATCAGGCAACAAGGCAATAAAATGGAAGGTGAAGAAGAAAAGAAACATCGGTCGATAGAATCAAAGAGTAGTAAAAGAGAGGAGGAAGAAATGAGCAAATGATGTGTTTAAGTATAGCGGTTAAGTTGAGGATAATGTGCGTATGTATCTGCGCCACTGACACCAGTTCTGACCCATATTACCTAGAGTCTACAACCGCTGGTTTCTCTTGTCCTGCGGACACCAACCAGCTAATCTACATTACCCTACATGGCTCAAACCAACAGTCAAGAATTTCGTGCATTGATGCCATATTTCAGTTTGGTCATCCATAGCTTTTTTCCAGCCTGAACCTACTTCGGTCAACATTGTGCGAGGAAGCAAATGGTGGCTAGGCATACGTAAAACATGTTCCAACCATTCCAATTGATGAAGGTTCACAACCGCATCAACTGTCTTACCTTTCCTGTCTAAAACTGTTCACCTGACTTCTGTGTTACTCACATGGTGACACTGCGGAATTCGACCTATACTACGGAGGTAACAATGGTCAAACACCTGAAGCCTTCTCATGTTTTCTACATTGTTAATGACCATGTTTAACAACCACACAGCAGAACAGAGCGAACTGCAACACAGTACACTCGACCCTTAGTAACAATTCGATATCGTGGCAACGCCACATATGGTGTAAGCTGGCAAAAACCACCGAGCCTTTTGTGTGCGTGAAGAGATCTCGTTGGCCATGAGTCACCATGACAAGACTGACCCGACTTCCCAGGTGAGTGAAGTGTTCTATGTGCTCAACCGCAGTCTCTATTGTTAACCGGGGTACCGTTCAAGACCAATGGTGAAGCAACAGTTTGCATTTAGGTGGTGAGAAATGCTTCCCAAATATTGTTAAATTGTCACTCAAAATCTCCACAAGAATCTGCATCTTGTCAATGTCTTCACCTAACAGGACTATGTCGTCTACGTAGACTACGTCCACCAAGGATTTTCCCGTGATTAGGTCAATCTTTGTTTACTCATGATGAGAGGGAGATATCCATAAGAAAGTCTATGATAAAAGTGAATAAGAAAGGGAGAGAGTGGGCATATTTGACGGACACCACTCGATGTACACAGTTGACCCAATATCTCACCATAGGCTCTAACACGCCCACAAGTGTTCGAGTAGAGAGCCTTCAATAAGGTGATGTACTTAATCGGCACACCTTTCAGCGAGAGACATTGCCACATGGCTTCTCGATCGACGGGGTTGAATGCAGCCTTGAGGTCGAGAAACATACCTATTTTCGGGCGTCGGTAAGCATGGCTGTGTTTCAGAACCTGACGGAGCGGCTTGAGTTTAACCAGATAGGTAGTATCGTCGTGCTTACGTATGTACTAGGTATTTCTCATTATCTGATACCTTAATCTATTATACGCATGTTCATGAGTCTTACTTTGATGAATGTAATATTTTTATCTCAAGCGGCTAGAAAACGTCAGTGTATTCAGTTATTCGCATCCCTTTTTTGTGACAATCATTAGTTAAATTTCTTGTCAGTAACTGTCGAAGAAGTTTGGTAACATTATCTAGTCTGTTAAAGAATATCAAGACGGTTAATTCATTATTAATGATCTGTAGCATCTTACTAAAGACATAATCTACTGACTAGTTTCATTTTCAGTATTTCTGTTGATCTTAGAAAAAAACATTATGCCTTGATCTAACATATTTATAGTATATTCATGTTCTCTTTGGTTAGATGTGAACCCAGGAGACCATCTGGTAGTATGGACTGGTTAAGGCCGAAATTAATTGTACAATGCTCAGATCGAAATTACTGTAATGGAAAATATAGTGGAGAAAAGGTATTTATTTCACTTTTTAAGGAAAAATTCATTTTCATATTGTATTTCCTCTTCTCTTTACTACTAGTTAATTATTATGACAGTTAACTCTCATCGATGCAGTTGTAAAACGGAATCTGGTCAAATAATTGAAGGTATGTAAAAAGTGATTATCAGTTTATTTAATGTCATCATCAAAATTTAGGTCTTCCCATAAAGTATTTACAAACCTTTATACCACATGAAATGAATTCTGTTCTAATGATCGTCAATGGAGATCGGAATGGCCAGGTAGATACTCCTTCCTTTTCTCTGTGCGTTGTAATTATCTCATTATTATCAATACTTTACAGAATGTGTTTTTACTTGGGGGGTTGAACTCGATACACTAATTGACATTACTTATTGTTCGCTAGCTATTATATTTCGATGGTAGATGAGTGTGAAGTCTATTGCTGTCTGGCGTCTTGTTCACTTTTGTTTGAGATATGTATACTGTGTGAGCTGTGAAAAATTGTAACTATTAATTCATTCGTTGGTTAGAAAAAGTTTATGCTATAATGGTCTTTTGCTGTTAGTTTTAATTTCATCATCATAAAGGTAGATTGTAAAGGATGATGAGCGATCAGGAATAATTCTAATTGAAATGCATTTGCTGTATCCTTCTGATACCTAGAAAACCTAAAGGTACTTTTGAATAGGAAAATTCTATCTGTCGTATTTTTTGGTTGATAATAATCCATAAATTTTTATCCAACTTCTAACGTTATAGAATTTCTTTATCTGTAGGTTTGTGGAGATTTATTAATTGATTTCGGGTTAGAATTCACAATAGACTGACATCAGTTGGGGGGAACATTGGAATCCTGGGAGCACTGAACAGTTGTTTCGTCCTAGTGTAAGACTACTCAGCAGTGCTCACCCACGACCTCGCCAAAGATCGAACTCAGGATCTTTAGGTACTCTTAGATAAATTATATTTCCTTCGTTACCACAGTGTAAGCTCTTCTTTTAACTCGGATGATAGTCTATTAATAGCTTGTGAGTTTTTGATCGCAGCATTAAATTTCTGCACTAGTTCGAATTGAAATAATCTGTTTCCTTAGCAGAATATGGAGTGACTCATTAATTTACGGAGTTGACTTTTAACAAGTCAGTCATGGGTGGGCATCGCTTCACCTTCTGACATTTGCGCAACCAGGTAGCCGTCACACAATAGGTGTGTGGTTGATTGCCTACCGCACGAGTGCACGCAAGGTTACTGAGTTGATTTCGATTAGTTACCAAAATCACACACACTGATTCGGTAAGAAACTCAGGTAGAGTCCTTCGTTTAACAAATATTTTATCACTTTAAACGAATAATTTAGAAGGATCTTCGATATACGTGCTACACTACTAAATACTACAATGTCCATCTCAGATTCCTCAGAGTTTAGACACCCCCGTGCATATTTTATATTTGTTTATGTTCAATTCACCTCTAATTTTGTTGTAAACCAGTAGTTTTTCATGCTGAGAATCGGTGTCCATTATAAAATCCTTGTACTAATTGAATGCAGCAAACCGACTTGCCTCTCAATGATGAACATATTATTATATTATTATTTGTCCTTTGGATTCCTGGTGAATGATAGGGCTTTAGTAGCACGTCGCCATTTCACTCTATTCTCTACAGTCTTTCGAAGCTGGCTCCACGATTTCCCAGAAGCTTTCATTTCTTCCTCACGCGATCTCCTTCATATCACCCTCGGACGCCCAACTCGTCGTTTCGCACTTTGGTTCCACTCGACAGCCTGACATGGCGCGTGATATCCCAAAACTGTCTTCTCAGTCTGTGTCCAATCCAATCCATCTTCACTTTCTTCTGCATATTTGTTGGGCGGTAGGTTCTTGGTTGGTTGGTTCGTTGCCAAGCCAGAGTTCCTTGTTGCTTATTCTTTCTGGCAATGGGATCCTCGGTGTCGAGCGTAGGCGGCAGCTGTTGATGTATGTCCGTAGCTTGTTGCAAACGCTTTTTGTAACACTCCAAGTCTCTCAACCATCACATGGAAGCACTGACTTGACTGAATTAGTGTTGAAAATCCGCATCTTGTTCAAGCTTTATGTTCAGTGCAGTAGATCCCCACACTGATTTCAGATTAATGAAGGCCTGTTTTGCTGTCTTTCCGATCCTAGCTTTGACTTTTCCATCTGTGCATGTGCTGCTTAGGCAGGTAGGTGAAAGAGACAACTTGCTTTTTGGATTTCTCCCGTTGATGGTGACTGGTGCTTGTTGTTGTTGGTTGGGTATCTTCATCACCCCGTCTTCTCTACGTTCACCTGAAGGAAGTTCCGTGTTCTCTGTGTCGCCTCTTCTGCCAACTTGTTAGATTTTGCCTGTAGATCTTCAAGTTTGTGTGACTTCAGACACAAGTCATTGGCGAGATCCAAGTCTTCTAGGTTCGTTTCCGCGGTCCAGCGTATCCCCCTCTTCTCGAACCTCACTGTTTGTCGCATGATGGAGTCCAGTCCACTACAATCAAGAATATCATGGGGGATAGTAGGTAACCTTCCTTCACCCCTATCTTCACTTCAAAAGCATCACTGACCTTCCCACTGTGAATTACTTGGCATGTGGCCTTTTCATACAGCTGTTGAATGAGGTTGATAAAGGTTTGTGACACTAAAACCGTAGTGCTGAAGCAGATGCCTGTCAAATTACTTCTCGATGGAAGCTATCGAAGGCCTTTCCAAAGTCGATGAAGTTGAGGTAGAGAGTGGACTGCTATTCTATACTCTGTTCTATCATGATGCATAGTGCAGCGTTGCAATATGATCCACACATGATTGGTTCTTACTGAAACCAGTCAGCCTGTTCCGATCGTATTTTCGAATCCAGAGCATCCTTTAGTCTCTCCAGGATGATGCGGCCTAATATTTTGCTTGGGGTGGACAGCGGTGGATCATGATTCCTCACCAGTTCTTGCAATGACTTAGGTCTCCCTTCTTCGGGAGTTTGACAAGGTAGCCATTCTTCTAATCAATGAGCAGGTACCTCTCCTTCCTTCCAAACCTTCTGCAATAGTGGTGTGGTGTGGTGTGATGTGAGCATGTCCGCTGTTGTCTCGGTGTCTGTTTCCAGTGCTTCTGTCAGGATTGCATCTGGTCCTGCTGCTTTCGCGCATTTCAGTAGCTTTATGGCACTCAGGACTTCACTTCTGGTTTTGTTGGAGGATTTATGTTCACTTGTAGTTGAGCGGCTGGGCTGCAGGTGGTATTTCTGGACGAGTTGCAGGTGATGGTCGATTCAAGAGCTTCTTGAAGTGGTCAGTCAGCCCATCATTTTCTTTGTCATTTTCAAATAAAGCGCTTTCAGTTTTTAAGCTTTATTGTACGCAAATGTTTAACAGTGCGTTATGATTACTGTCACGTTTTTTTCATTTTTTTCTCTTTGGAGTAGCTTGCACGCTTAATTAAAAGAGACAGTCGCAACCAATTGGTGAATGTAAAAACTCGAGCTGGAATTCTTCTACAATATCATTTTGACAGTATATGTGCAATCAATGATCCATTCGATAATTAAAAAATGTAGAATGTTCCTTTGAATTTTTGGAACTTTTGTATATATTTTTAAAAGAAAACTAATTTATTCATATATATATAATAAAGTGTAAAATGATATATAACAACCATTGTTATTTTTAAAACAGATAATTTCTTTATGGCTTTTACTCTAATCAGTGCTTAGTTTTCCGTATGGTCTAGCTTACCCCAAAATTATGATAAATTATTTTATTATCATTTCCCTATCTGAGATAGCCGTAGTTTGGTAGACTAGTGTGATTTATACTGAGTGATGATTGAAGGTGAAATGAAAGTTTGGACCCGCGGCCTGAATTGAACTAGCGACCAATGGGTTTCCGGCCTGATGTTCTACCAACTGAGCTGCAAGGACTTCAGTTGTTATTTGCAGTGAATCATGCATACATGCGTTTGAATCATACATCTATAACGCGCAGAATTCATAAGAATGAGATAAGTGATCTCATGTTTTAGAATGCGGAATAACGCACAGTAGTTGTGATTTCATTTGACGCACAGCTATTTAGGAACAATGAATTGTACGGATATGTGTAAGGTGTCAATTGAAAGCTCATAAGCTAAGCTATACAACAGTATGATAAAACAAGTCTTAGAAAGTCTTTTAAAAGTGAATAAAATAATGCGATGGGTTTGACCTATCTGAAATAACGGCTAATACCACATTATATTTTTTTCTCTTACTTAAAACGATAAAAATCACTGCGGAAAAGTCGTTTCAAAACAAAATGTCGTGTTAAACTGTAGCATAACTCGATCTAATCAATACCATCGTTTTCATTTGGGAGTGAAATGATAGGACACACAAGCATTGCTGGAAATTGTACATATCCTGTAACTTTCGTGAATACATGTTGCAGTGAGTAGGACATTCCAGAATTATCTTCAGTCAGGGTTCGAAATATATCGAGTAATGAAAGGAAGTTAATTACTAGAAATGAGGGTTTAGAGTAGGAAAATAATCAATCGATTACGTAATACAGGCTAAATCTATGACGGCTAGGCTACGGCAAAGATAGATTGAACGTGCCTTTATGAAACTTTACGCTGGTTTGAACTTCTGAATGGCTGATGCTTCAGGTATACCCATGTGCCTTGATCTTACTCCCTTCAAGTGGTTTGATCGAAACATGTAGATGATTTTGAATAAGTGCTCAAAAGGAGCTGAGTTCACGAGGTGTTCTGTTACGAGCTGAAGATGCATTTTTGTCATCCATTTGCCAACCAGACTGAGTAGTGTTCACAAGAACGTTTTACAAGCGGATGCATGGTACAGCCAATGTACTCAGCTCTATATGAGGAAATTAACTGACATACCGATGCATCAGGTTGTCTTTCACATACTGACCAGTATGTTTCTTTCAGGAGAAAATGATTCGAAGGTTGGTGGCGATATTCTACTTGAGGGTCTTGACAGCCGTTTTTTGGAAATGTCTGCTGCAATGTTTTGAATTCAAGATTCACCCAAAGAATCTTTTTCAGCACCAAGTATTTTCGTTCAGTTGGATCCTTTGACTTTATGTTCTTATCTATGGATCCAGGCGGGAAACAGTTTTCTACTCGAGTCTTTCGAAGGTTCATCAACGGTGTCCTTATTACTTATTTTCCTGATCCTTAAGGATAGTGAATGGATAAGATTTATTATGCTACATAGAGGGACCGAAGTTTCAAAACTAATAAACTTTCCTTTCGATGTAGGCATTCTGTAAATTGATCTACTAAGTGAATTATCATCTTTTCTTTTTGGAGTTGAAAATCGAAAGAATGGAAAGTTGATTCTGATTCTAGATTGAATTTGATTGAGGGGTGGGTGTTGTTGAAAGTATGCAACAGGTTTGTGAGATTGGTAATTTCATCACAAACTATGAGGGATTCATCAATGTGGCTTTTTTAGGCATGAAACTCATTGATTGTTGTTGATAATCTGACGTTTCCCAGGCTTGCTAAGAGAGGTCCTAGTGCAGAACTTATCGCCAGACCGTCTGTCTACCTGTAGATTTCATTAATAAACCTGAAGTATTATTATTTGTCATTTGAGTTCCTAGTGGAACATAGGGCTTCAGTAGCACGTCTCCAATGCGCTGTGTTCACTGAAATCTTTTGAACCTGGCTCCACGACAACCCACAAGCTCTCATTTTCTCCTCCATGTCACCCTCATCTTGGATACCCAACTCGTCGCTTCCCATCGGGGTTCCACTGGAGGGCCTGGCGCGTGATGTCCCCAGTCAGCCTTCTCGGTGTATGCCCAATTCATCTCCACTTCCTTCTGCATATTTGTTGAGCGATAGGTTCTTGGTTGGTTCGTTACCAGCCAGTCAGAGTTCCTTGTTTCTTATTCTTTTTGGCCACCTGATCTTCAGTATTGAGTGAGCGTAGGCAGTTGTTGATGCATGTCTGTAGTTTGTTGGAAATCCCTTTCGTAACGCGCCAAGTTCCTAACCACATAGAAGCACTGACTTGACTGGATTGGTGTTGAAAATCCGGATCTTGTTCTCTATGCTGAGTGAGGTGTGGTAGATCTCCAAACTGGTTTCAGGCTAATGAAAGCCTGTCTTGCTTCTCCGATTCTGACTTTGACATTCTCGTCTGTGCCGCCTATAGTTGCAACAGTGCTGCTTAGATTAGATAGGTAAAAGAGACTACTTCCTTTATGTTTCTCTCATTGATGGTGATTGGAGTTTGTTGGTGGTGGTTGTAGTTAGGCAACTTCATCACCTCTGACTTTTCTATATTCACTTGAAGTCCCGGCTTCGCTGCCTCTTCTGCCAACTTGTTAGATTTTGCCTGTAGATCTTCAAGTTTGTGTGACTTCAGACACAAGTCATTGGCGAGATCCAAGTCTTCTAGGTTCGTTTCCGCGGTCCAGCGTATCCCCCTCTTCTCGAACCTCACTGTTTGTCGCATGATGGAGTCCAGTCCACTACAATCAAGAATATCATGGGGGATAGTAGGCAACCTTCCTTCACCCCTATCTTCACTTCAAAAGCATCACTGACCTTCCCACTGTGAATTACTTGGCATGTGGCATTTTCCTATAGCTGTTGAATGAGGTTGATAAAGGTTTGTGACACTAAAACCGTAGTGCTGAAGCAGATGCCCGTCAAATCACTTCTCGGTAGAAGCTATCAAAGGCCTTTCCAAAGTCGATGAAGTTGAGGTAGAGAGTGGACTGCTATTCTATACTCTGTTCTATCATGATGCATAGTGTAGCGTTGCAATATGATCCACACATGATTGGTTCTTACTGAAATCAGCCAGCCTGTTCCGATCGTATTTTGAATCCAGAGCATCCTTTAGTCTCTCCAGGATGATGCGGCCTAATATTTTGCTTGGGGTGGACAGCGGTGGATCATGATTCCTCACCAGTTCTTGCAATGACTTAGGTCTCCCTTCTTCGGGAGTTTGACAAGGTAGCCATTCTTCTAATCAATGAGCAGGTACCTCTCCTTCCTTCCAAACCTTCTGCAATAGTGGTGTGGTGTGGTGTGATGTGAGCATGTCGCTGTTGTCTCGGTGTCTGTTTCCAGTGCTTCTGTCAGGATTGCATCTGGTCCTGCTGCTTTCGCGCATTTCAGTAGCTTTATGGCACTCAGGACTTCACTTCTGGTTTTGTTGGAGGATTTATGTTCACTTGTAGTTGAGCGGCTGGGCTGCAGGTGGTATTTCTGGAGGAGTTGCAGGTGGTGGTCGATTCAAGAGTTTTTGAAGTGGTTAGTCAGCCCATCGTTTCCTTTGTTTCTTCTCTTTGGTGGTAACTGGCTTTCCTTCATCATATTTCATTGGTCCCGTCTGAGTTGATCTCTTCCCAGACAGCAAGTAACCTGGTTATTTGATACAATGTTGTCAGGTCTCTATCTCTCCTACCAACTGGCAGCCTGTTCTGCTTCACTTGCCAGTGTGCTGTAAAAGTGTCTCTTGTCTTTGCGTGCACTCTTCTTCACTTCTTTGTCCAGTGTAGTGTTTTATACATTGTAATCAGTTCTTCTTCTCGTTGTGCATCCTTGCACTGGTTTATCTTCTGCCTCACCACCCTCCTCTGCCTGCTCCATCAGCTTCCATGTGTCCGTTGAGATCCATTCCTTGTCTTGTCACTTCTTCTTCCTTCCTAATACGGTTATGCAGGTTTCTTTCCACATAGCTTTCAAAGAGTTCCAGTGTTTTTCCACATCCGATTCTTCAGGGATGTTGCTCAATGTCTCCTATTTTGTCTTGATGGCTGTCTCGATCTGATTTTCAGTGTGTCATCTGGTGAAATCTATGTCGCTTTCTGGATATCCTTGTGTTTGTACACAGTGCCTCCAATCACCGAATCGTTGAACGCACAGAATTCTGCAAACAATTCTCCATTCTCGTTCATTCCACCTAGCGCTTCTTGGCCCATGGTTAGTTCTCCTCCTGTTTTTCCCACTCCGAGTTTGGCATTCATGTCACCCATTGGAATTTTGATATCGCCAACTGACGTCTTGTCCAGTGTTGATTGAAGTTGTCTGTAGAATTCCTCCTTTTTCTCTTGCTCTGCATTATTTGTAGGTGCGTAGTGCACCATTGTATGATTCTGACCTTCCTTCCTTTTGAGTTGAACCTTGCTGTCATGATCCTGCATGAGGAGATTGGTTCACACTGCATGAGAGCATTCGATGCTGTTGGGGACATCATGATAGCCACATCAAAACTCAATGTGCTCATGGTTGTCGTCTGGGTGACCGGAGTAGATTATTGATTCTCCACTTGACAGTTTGGAGAGTCCACTCCCATTCCATCTGATTTCGCAAATCCCAAGCACTTCAATGTGATACCTGCTCATCTCGTTTGCAATCTGGGCTGGCTCACTAGGTTCAAACATTGTTCGGACATTCCATGTCTCCAAGTTTACTTTCGCTTTCATCGGAGAGAGAAGACACATCGGCCAACTGGCTTCCTGAAGGCATTCACCAAACAGCGTCATTTTGCCTCTCCGATTGCAGCGAAGAATAACTTTGTTA